GAGCTAGAGTCAAAACTGCTTGATGAGGGGCTTTTGTGGCCCCTGTGCTCTCCCAGGAGGTCTTGTTCCTCTTGGGGTCCATCAAGTATTTTATAGAGCCTTTGCTCTTCACCTCAATTAGTCTATTTTTGATAAAAGTATCCCTGAATCTGAAATAAGTCATGTTTGCTCTGGGTAACCTCTGTGTCAGACATATTCCAGTGAGTTGGTCCTGTCTCCTCCTCTCCTTGGCAGATTCCTAACCCTTCATTGTCCGATGAAGTATTTAGGAGTCCTGTCTTTAATGTGGCCACTGTGCAGGGAGATTTACCAATCTCTGGTCCCAGACCCCCACTGGAACATCTGAAGAACTGGAATCATATTAGCAAGCTGCTATTCCTTTAGCTCTGTGTTACGGAACTACTGAGTATTTGTATTCTAAGTCATATTTCCTTGGTAGGAAATACAAACTTTGAATCTCTTGTATGGGTATTTTTTTAGAGTTTAGTTATTATTATTTTTTTATTGACTCAAATAATTAGAACCCATGTGTCTCAGAAGTCTTAGAATGGAAAATCTTTTCAATATTTCCATTTGTAAAAACCAAGACAAAGAATGCAATCCTTTTGTGTATTCTCATTCATTAATATGCTTTTTTTTAGCATTCGATTTCTCATGTTGCTACCTTAAAGATCCTGTTAGTTTATTCCTTTTGGTAGATTTGCTGTGTTTTTGAAGATCTTCGGCCTTAGGTGTTTGCTGCCTTTGCTTCACTTGCTATAGGTTTCGAGTACACAAAGAGTTTTTCATCTAATATTCACAGTGCTTTCATAGGACTTAATTTTACTACATTCATAATTTTTTCCTTATACTTCTTGGTATTTTAGCAAATCACATATTTAAGTAATAATTTACTTATAAAAATGTCAACTACTTACATTCCACACTGAGGTTGGAATTAAAGCTGTGTCCAGCCAACTTGCACAGTATTCAGTCTAAATCACAAAGTATGTTATTTAGTAAATGTTTGTAGGCACTTGCTCTCTTTTAGGGCCATGTGAGTCATATAACCTTTTATTTCTGTGTGGAGAAAAGTGAATATAAAATGAGGATAATACCTCGCTTACTGGGTTGTTTTGATGATCAAAGGCAGTAACACATTCAAGATATCCTGGCACAACCCCATGTTAGTTCCAAGCCCTTCCTCTGCATCTGTCCCCTGGGTTTTACATTATCTGATCACTGTGGAATTAGACCGTTTGGCTGTTCAATGATGTTAGAGTCTCTACATGATTCAAGTACCATCGTCAGATTTATTATTATATTATTTCCATTATATGTCTTATTTTTCAGGGGTTTATAATAAGTATAAAACTTGAACATTCAAAAATACAAAGCATTCACATTTGTTACTAGCTCACCTTTTAAATGATATTTCACTGTCAAGAGTTCTTGCTTGTACTGGAGGGCTTTCTTTTACTATGTATTATGTCAGTATTTCAAGAAACTATTTGTAACTCTTTGGAAGGTCCTGGGATATGATTTAAAGTATGATCTGTTAATTTTCTTTTTCAGAGTCGATGTTCTCTTTTGATGTGGAAGACTATCCTGATAAAGATAGAGGAATCAGAGCCTCCTCATAATACTAACATACCTTCAGGGGAATAATGGCTCAGTGTTTGTCCTATTTTTGTTTTAAATGTATTTTTATAAGATATGTATATATGTATTTTAACTGATTTTTGTATTATATAACATTGAAAAATCTCTCAAGATTATGGACAATGTTAAAATTGTATTTGCTACCTATACCTAGACAAATTTCTACGGCATTATCATCTCTGATTGACAAAGGAGATAATGAACTAAAAACCAGCTGGTGAAAGTGTTTATTTTTTATTCTGTCAAATTAGTTGTATTTGTAATCATTATAAAGATACTAATTCAGAAAAAGCCATAAACTTTTTGTCATAAAATATTTATCAGGTTTAAACACAGATTTAAGGAGTAGAACAGAAAGGAAAAAAGACCTTCATTATTTATTTTGGATGTTTCATTACTGAATAAATTGAGATATGAAATGTCTTTTCTGAAACTTAGTGATTGTGCATCATGTAATGATTATAATAAAATGTAATTTAGCTCAAAAGATGCTTTACTTCATGCCTAATATAAAGGAAATGTATCTTTTTTTTGAAAAAGTTGTATATCCAAAAAGTTCATTCCTCTTTAAAATCTGTACCAGCCATTCCCATGTCTGGTTGCACATCAGAATCATTTAGGGAGATTTAATAACAAATGTAGCAAAAGGAAGCTGAGCAGCACAAGAATTCAGGAGGCCTGTGTTTATTGGGTTCACACTCCCAGTTGATAGTTCTTTTCTCTTCTCTTCTCTTCTCTTCTCTTCTCTTCTCTTCTCTTCTCTTCTCTTCTCTTCTCTTCTCTTCTCTTCTCTTCTCTTCTCTTCTTTTCTTTTCTTTTCTTTTCTCTTTTCTTTTCCAAATTATTTATTTATTTGAAAGGCAGAATTACAGAGGGAGAGGGAAAGACAGAAATAGATCTTCCATCCTCTGGTTCATTTCCCAAATAGCTGTGATGGCGGGGACTGGGCCAGGCTGAAGCCAGGAACTCCATTCAGGTCTCCCATGTGGGTGGCAGGGGCCCAAGCACTTGGGCCATCTTCTGCTGCTTTCCCAGGCACATTAGCAGGGTGCTGGATGAGAAGTGGTGCAGCTGGGACTTGAACCCATGCCCAAATGGGATGCTGGCAACAATGCTGCCCTCCACCCCTCCAGTTGGTCTTTACCCTTTCCTTTCTTTTTCTTTCTTTTTTTTTTTTTTTGTTACAAGAAATACAAGTAGAAATTCTCCATATCTCTTCTCAAGCTCATCTGGAGCTCTTTGTCAAACAGATTTTTGGCTTTCCTGGAAATCCCATTTTTTTTTTTTTAAGATTTATTTATTTATTTGAAAGAGCTACACAGAGAGAAGGAGAGGCAGAGAGAAAGAGAGGTCTTCCATCCACTGGTTCAGTCCCAGTTGGCCGCAATGGCTGGAGCTGTGCTGATTGGAAGCCAGGAGCCAGGAGCTTCTTCCAGGTCTCCCTCGTGGGTGCAGGGGCCAAAGGACTTGGGCCATCTTCTACTGCTTTCCCAGGCCATAGCAGAGCTGGATCAAAAGTGGAGTAGCTGGGATTCAAACTGGCACCCATATGGGATGCCGGCACTGCAGGCGGAGATTTACTCATTATGCCACAGCACCGGCCCCTAAGAGTCCATGCAGTTTTGTTTTAGAGTGCACCACTTACGTTTTGGATTGTCTTTTTTCTAATGGTACCATTTAATTTATTCCCCAGTATCTTAGGTGAGGTCTAGAGGTCTAGTTATATTTAGGTTAGATTTTTTTTAAAAAGTGTATTTATTTGGATGCGGGGGAGGGGGGAGGGAGAGAGGAAGAGAGAGAGAGAGAGAGATAGGAACTCTCACCTTGTTCATTTCCCAAACATCCACAACAGCCAGGGTTGGGCCAGGCTGAAGAGCCAGACCTCCCACATGTGTGACAGGGAAGTGCTTGGGCCATCACCTGCTGCCTTCCAATATGCACACTAGGAGGAAGCTAGATCGGAACTGGAGCAGCCAGGACTTGAACAAGGTATTTCAGTATGGGATGTGGGTGTCCCAAGTGGTGCCTTAATCCACTGTGTGACAACACCGGCCTCTAGGTTAGATATTTTAAAAACTAAGATTACTTAGGCCGTATGAGGGTACTTTAAAAAATTCATGAAAAAGAATTTTAAGTTTATCCTGGTTAAAAATGCTTGAAGCCCATGCATACAAAGGTTCTTCAGAAAGCTCATGATAAATGCATATTAAGGAAATAAATGCATAACTTCAGTTTTTTTTTTGCAACATAAATGATTTCTATTCAGTTTTTCTATAAACTTTTTGAAGATTTCTTATCTATGTTATGTTGCATAGCATGAACCTTTAAAGATGTCAGAGTTAGCTCCCTTGGCACAGTGACTAAGCACCATACAGCACAAACCCAAAATGACAACACATGTGTGTTAAGGGGCTTGGAATACTGCTCCCTGAAGAAGGCAAGGCAAGTATTAGTTTCTTGCCCGCAAAAGCTCATCTTTTGAGATTAGCGACTAATAGTGTGAGTCTACTAATAGGAATATGCCAAATAGTAGGCTTGGAGTATGTATAAATGGGTTATAAGACTTAGCTGAAAGCTGACTTATGAGCTGACCCTTGAATAAAAGAATGATTCCAAACAGAATAGCAAGAAATAATGACCCTGAGATAGGAGAGTCCATTTTGGACAACTTTGGTTTCTATACCAAGAAATTTAAAGGAGTTCTGGAGGTGTCTTGTTTGCTTTGTTGGTACTGCTGCTGCTGCTGCTGTTTTTAGCGTTGTATGAATACTAGAGCAGTGGAAGGGTTAGATGACAGCAGGCTGGAGAAGACTCATGTCGAAAGCATCACAGTGTCCCGGACTAAACAGAAAAACTACAGTTCCGATGTTTAGGGTTAACATGTAAAAACGTGTCCGGATTTTAAAGATACTTGTGGGTGTGATATTTTTACATCAGATGAGTTTGCCACAGAAGGTTAAGAGGAAGATGAAAATGACTGTACTATGCGTCCTTGGAGCAGTCAGGTAGATGGGAAAGCAGACCGAAGCTCAACACCCACAGCTCGGAGATCCTGTACAGGAAGTGATGGCTGACGCTGTGTACCTCCCAGCAGGAAGCAGCGCGGGCGACGAGGGCTCAGAACTAAAGGGCGGACAGGACGGTGAAGAACGGCGTTTAACCACCGTGTGCAGGACGCTTGCTGTGCCCCAGCGAGCTCTGACAGCTTTCTCAGGGTGACTAGAACCGCCTGAGAAGCGCCTGCGGCAGACCTCGAGGCGCTGTGAACGCCACAGGTCTCAAAGCCACACAGGAACGGCCGGGCCTGAACGCATGCGTCTCCCGAGGCCGCACGCGGGAACCGGAAACAAGGGGCACGTGCCGCGCCTGCGCAGTGGCGGGCGGGCGGCGGTTAGGCGCTGCTGACGGGCTCCTGGTGGAGGATGGGGCGATGGAGCCGCCCAAAGAGGCGCCGAGACTTTCCAACGCGTTTGAAAACCGCGATGGACGCCTCCATCCGCCGTTCGCGGCCCAGTTTCTACAGAAGAGTGCCCCTGGCCACCCGGATGCCATGCACGTCAGAGGGTCTGAGTATCCTTCGGTCCGTCATGGTCAGGACCATGGCAGGACGGCTTTGCCCAAGGATAAGAACAAGGAGGGCACCGGGTACCGGCTGCTCAACGTGAGTGAGGGTCTGGCAAGGGTGTCCCCTGCAGCATCTGGAGGGGGAGGGAGAGCGAGAGCGGAAGGGTTAAAGTGATCGGTGCATCCAACCTAGAGAGGGGGGAGCTCCGCCCTAGGTTGGGAGGTGGTGACAGCTGAGGAGGAGTTTGCTTGAGGACCTTGGGCAATTCTAAGAATCTCGCTGTGCTCATTGCTAAGACAATAATTAATGGTTACTTAAAGGAGAAGTGAAAGAACAATGTGAATTGTAAAGAGCAAAGTATCAATGAGTGTTAGCTACTGTGCTCAATGGCATCCTTGGGATTTCGGTTACGTGGCTAACCTGCAGAAACGTTAGTTACCCGTCTTTTCCGTCCTGAGGTTCCTGCATAAGGAACCTGCAGGAGCAAGTGTGCATCATGCTTACAAAGTGAGTAACTGGCCTCCTGAAACGCTTGCCTTTATCACTATACTCAATGGTACCGGGACAGAATGGAGAACTGGAAAAGGAGAATCAAATTGAGACTCATCTTTTCAAACTTGTTGGGGGGATTGTAAGGAAGTTTTACATCCTTTGTTGGTCTTAAGTTATTAAGAAATAGGATACATAAAAGTACTTATCAGGAAACAAACGACATTCAAAAAGGTGATGTCCTTCTCTGTAAAATTAAGGAGTTGAATTACCTGATATCTTAGGTACAACTCTTCCAAAAATTTAGATACTCTTGAGGCACTGTAATAAATTGAGAGCATAATTGGTATTAGCTATACAGTCATATTAGGAAAAATATCAAAAATGTGTAAGAGAGATGTAATAGGAAATATAGCCCATAAAAAGTGTTCTGTGTTCTCTTAAGGAATTTGGATTGTATTTTAGACAATGGTGAGTTCTAGTGTTTGGTATGAGGAGCCCCTTTTAAGGTTAAAAAAAAAGCTACCCACAAAAAAGTAGCCTATCTCTTTACTATCCATTGGGAAAATCTTTAGTGACAAAAGGATACATGTAGACATGATATTTTTGATGGAATTTTCTCCAGACTTATGTCTTGTTTAGTCCAAATCATGTCGGTTGCCCTGTTAAAATGTAGAGTCCCTGGTCCTCTACCTTAGACCTGAATCAGAGTGGTAGGTGTGTGAGAATGCGCACAAATTTTAAACTGTTTCAGGTGATTGCTGGAAAGAGTCATGTTTGAGAATCACTCCAGACAGAGGGGAGAGATAGGCATTGATGTAGGGATTGTAGATTGAGGATGTAGGATGGAGAAGCCAGCCAGGAGAGACCGCAGGGTTGGATGAAATTGGTGAAAGAAAAAGGAGTGATAAGTGACTAGAGATCCCAAAGGGATTTTTCTAAAAGGTTTATGGAATGGAAGTTACTAAGGGAATTGGAATGATCAGCTATTATAATGGAAGACAGTGCTTAGGCTGAGAACTAGTGTGCTTTAAGATTTTAATAAATGTGGGTAACACATCTCACACTTCAGTCTGAGTTTGTTGATCCTCCTTAATTCCTTTCTTTTCAAACTTGTTGGGAGGATTGTAAGGAAGTTTTACATCCTTTGTTGGTCTTAAGTTATTAAGAAATAGGATATATAAAAGTACTTATCAGGAAACAAACGACATCTTGGACCTTCATTCTAATGATTCCACCTCTCAAATCATGAAATTTTGTATTCTATTTTGTCACCTCTCAATACTTTTATTACACATATTTTTTCACATATGTGCCAAGTTTGTGCTAACCATGGAAGATCAGTGGTGAACAAGGTAGAGCACTTTCCCATAGGAAGCTAACACAATGGGAGGCAGTTCCTGAATATTCTGTGTTCTGAAGGAAATAGGGCACTGTGATCATGAATCTTCGTGGTTTAGGGGCAGACAATACTTTAGATGGGGAATCAGAGAGGACCTCTCTGAACAGGTGGCTCTAGGGGAAAACCTGAGGAAAGAGAAGAGGCTGGCTGCTTAAAGAGTTGGAGGGGAGAGCATTGCGAGAACAAATAAGTGTTTCTGCCAAAGAATGAAGCTTGGAATATTCAAGAAACATAGTGCATGAAAGGAAAAGTGACATGAAGTAGGTTGCCATATCTTTTTGTATGTTTAAACTCCCTGGCCTGAAGCTCCGGCATCCCATGTGGGCGCCGGTTCGAGACCCAGCTGCTTCACTTCTGATCCAGCTCTCTGCTATGGCCTGGGAAAGCAGTAGAAGATGGCCTAAGTCCTTGGGCCCCTGCACCCGCGTGGGAGATCAGGAAGAAGCTCCTGTCTCCTGGCTTTGGATCAGCGCAGCTCTGGCCATTGCGGCCAATTGTGGAGTGAACCATCAGATGGAAGACCCCCCCCCCCCTCTCTGCCACTCATCTCTCTGTGTAACTCTTTCAAATAAATAAATAATTTTTTTAAAAATAGTTTTTTTTTGTGAATTATTGGTTGAAATCAATTTGTTTTGGCTTTTTTTTTTAGAGTTTTGAAAATTTTTTATCTAGTCCAGTGATTTTAAAGTTGTCAGAGAGCCTGTATTTAAGAAAATTTGTTAGAATCCTTTTTATAAATCTGATTGTGTTTTTTGAGGAGTATACAGAACTGTGGATGACAGATTTTAAATAGCCATATTAAAATTATAACACTCACTAATCAAGAAGAAGAGGCACTTGCTAACTTTATATAGTATTTTAGAAATCACCTGTACGATTTTATAAACATTTTTTTAATTAAGATAACCATCATGACATAACAACATAACAAGATCATTAGACTTTTGTAACTTTTAGACAGAGTTAGAGAGAGAGAGAGAGAGAGAGAGATCTTCCATCTGTTGGTTCACTCCCAAACAGCCGCAGTGGTTGGAGCTGATCTGAAACCAGGAGCCAGAAGCTTCTTCCAGGTCTCCCATGTGGGTGCAGGGGGTCCTCTGCTGCTTTCCCAGGCAGGTTAGCAGGGAGCTGGATTGGAAGTGGGGCTGCTGGGACTCGAATTGGCACTCAAATGGGATGCAGGCTGGGGCTTTAACCCATAGCGCCACGGCGCCAGCCCCTTGACAGTAATTTTTTTTTTTTTTTGACAGGCAGAGTGGAAAGTGAGAGAGAGACAGAGAGAAAGGTCTTCCTTTTGCCATTGGTTCACCCTCCAATGGCCGCCGCCGCCGGCGCGCTGCGGCTGGCGCACTGCGGCCGGCGCACCGCGCTGATCCGATGGCAGGAGCCAGGTGCTTCTCCTGGTCTCCCATGGGGTGCAGGGCCCAAGCACTTGGGCCATCTTCCACTGCACTCCCGGGCCACAGCAGAGAGCTGGCCTGGAAGAGGGGCAACCGGGACAGAATCCGGCGCCCCGACCGGGACTAGAACCCGGTGTGCTGGCACCGCAAGGCAGAGGATTAGCCTAGTGAGCCACGGCGCCGACCGACAGTACTTTTAATATAATCCAAATAGCCCAATTAGTTGTTGTCTTTTCAAGGTGAGAGATACGTTTTTTGATATTTCCAGGGGCCCGACTGGATCTATCAGGGTCCAAAGACCTCAAGGCTTTTAGGAGGAAGCAGCTTTTATTTTTGTTGGCTGGCTCAGAAGATTTTCAGCCAAATTCTGAGCCGTGAACAAAGGGGGTTGTTTTTATATACCTTCTTACAAACAACAACTTTTTTTTTTTGGACAGGCAGAGTGGATAGTGAGAGAGAGAGCGACAGAGAGAAAGGTCTTCCTTTTCCGTTGGTTCACCCTCCAATGGCCGCTGTGGCTGGCGCACTGCGCTGATCCGAAGCCAGGAGCCAGGTGCTTCTCCTAGTTCCCATGCGAGTGCAGGGCCCATGCACTTGGGCCATCCTCCACTGTACTCCTGGGCCACATCAGAGAACTGGCCTGGAAGAGGGGCAACCGAGACAGAATCCGGCACCCCAACAGGGACTAGAACCCCATGTGCCAGCGCCGCAGGTGGAGGATTAGCCTGGTGAGCTGTGGCGCCAGCCAAACAACTTTTTTTTTTTTAAAGATATATTTTATTTAAGTGAAAGAGTTACAGAGAGAGGTAGAGACAGAGAGATAGAAATATAGAGAGAAGTCTCCCATCCGCTGGTTCACTCCCCAAATGGCCACAATGACTGGAGCCGAGCCGATCTAAAGCCAGGAGCCAGGAGCTTCTTCTGGGTCTCCCATGTGGGTAGAGGGGCCCAGGGACTTGGGCCATCCTCTGCTGTTTTCCCAGGCCATAGCAGAGAGCTGGATTGGGGAAGTAAAGCAGCCGGGACTCGAACCGGCGCCTATACGGGATGCTGGTGCCAGGGCTTTAACCCTACGGACCATATCACTGGCCCCTGTTTTTTCTTTACATACATTTTGGTTGGATATTTTGGTTACATACATTTTGATTGGATGTTTTGCTATAGGATTGCTTACAGTATTGCTACAGAGATGTGCATGTGTGTATATTGATACTGATTAGACAAGCTGTCCCTCCTGGCTCCCCTAACCTTTATTCTTTTTGGAAAGCCCCTTGTCACATTTACCCTTTAGCCAATTGACCTTAGCACTTTGTTTTGGCAAGCAGATACTAAAACTGTCAAGTTCTCTTTCTTTTTTTCTGAGAGGAAGCCTCTGTATAAAGTCTGCTCCCACCTCATAGTAATTATTTTCTTACTGCTTTATATGGTTGGCTTGGTTCCTTTATTCCTGTTACTGTCTTCCATTGTGATTTGATGTTTTTTGTAGTAACATATCTTTTTAACTTTTGTGGATTTACTTTATATTTTTTTGTTTGTAGTTACTATGAGGCTTAAATAACATGTAGTTATACAATCAGTTTTAAGCTTTTAGCAGCTTAATTTGTTTTTTAAAGATTTATTTATTTACTTGAAAGTCAGAGTTACATAGAGGAGAGGGAGGGAGAGAGAAAAAGGGAGAAAGAGAGAGAGAGAGGTCTTCCACCTGCTGGTTCACTCCCCAATTGGCCACAACGGCTGGAGCTGCACCAGTCTGCAGCCAGTGTCGCTCCCCCATTCGCGGAGGAACGACACTAGACCCTGTGCTG